GTAGTTCGTTACTCGCGGACGCTAATTTTGCGAGCCCGACCCAACCCTACCACACACACATCAAGGTAAATGAACGGGCAAACCAGGGAGAAAAGACGACCTGAATGTATTCTAAATTGAACACAACTTCTTGGAGGGTACTGAATGAACATACAAAAAAGACAAGATTGCACTAAAATAAAGATCAGTGAGAAATGCGATAAAGTTTTGGCAAACACAAAAGCAAACTTGGTGGTTCCGTTGGTGAAAACAGTCCAACAGGCTTTGGAATCGAAAGAAAATAGGCCTAATAGCGATGATCGTTAAAAAAACTGTTGAAGATTTCACACCGCGCGGCAATCTCTGACTGAATATTGACATCATGGTCACTATTTTTAGTACCGGGGATTCATTTTGTTCAAAACAAACTAAGATTTACAAAATGGGGCGCCATGTGTCCTGCTTCATAACTGCAGTTGTTTTCGGACGAGTCGGAAACGTGCGCGTTATGTTGTCTTTTGTGGTGTGCAGCAAATGTGTGAGCGAGAACGCACTCCCGTCGAAAGCAGAATTGCGTGTGAGTGAACTGTGTTGCAAGCGTATGACGGCATTAGTTAGTGGGGTTAGACACAGGCTGGTGGTGAATGTGTATGAACCAAAAATTCATAGAAGAGAATCTAGAGAAGAAGAAGAATATCCCGGTGAGCTGATGTGTGGTGTAGAGGTAAGAATCAGCTATCTTATTACAAGCTATTTCGGCAGCCATTCAGAGTTTGAGAAGTGAAATTGGTTATTGGTAGGTGGCAGAGACTAGACACGAATATCTAATCTTGAATATCTTAGGCCTATCTGGGCCTATAAATTCAGAATGGCGGCGCACCAGATGAGGTTTTCGGACATGGTGAAGCCGTTCAACGGTGAGGGGGACGTGAGCGCGTGGATACGAAAAGTTGAACTTGTGGCCAAATTGACGAAAGTCAAGGAGCTCGTTACCTTTTTACCTCTGTACTTGGAGGGCAGCGCATTGTCAGTTTATTTGGAATTATCTGATGATGATAAGGAGAAGGAAGACTTGATAAAGAGAAAGCTTCTTGAAGGTTCTCGGATAGTGAATTTGTGGCGTACAGCAAGCTGAAGGCAGCGAGGTGGTCGGGGGAGTCAGTGGACGTTTTTGCAAACAATATCAGAAGGATGGGAAGGGACAGTGGTTTTAAAGGTGAAGGATTGGAAGAAATAGTCAAACTAGCGTTTTGTGACGGGACTCCCCGAGCACGTCAGCATTGAACTGCAACAAGTACAAGGGATAGAGGAAATGAAAGTGAGAGATTATGAGCAAAGCCAGGGTCTTAACGAGTAATTCGTCTGCAAGAGGAGTGGTGGCTGCTGGTCGAGGATTCGGAACTAGATCTGGATCCGATAAAAGGAATGATAAAGTGACTTTAAAGTGTTTTAAATGTCAAGGGCCGCATCTGCTGAGGGACTGCCCAGAGAGAAAAGCAAAGGTGATCACTTGTTTCAAATGTGGGGAGGAAGGGCACATCGCGAGTCGGTGTGAAGAAGGCAGGGTACCCGTGCAAGCGGGTACCAGATGGGAAAGTAATGGAGACAAATCTTGTGTTGCTGGGGCTAATAAAGGAAATCTTTGGAATGCGTCCAGTGAACACAGGGTTCTTTTGTTTGAAGTGACTGTTAATGGAAGAGACTGTCAAGCTATGGTAGATACTGGCTGTACAACGAGTCTTGTGAAGAGCGAGCATGTAGCCTGGTGGTATGGTGAGAGCACCATGGTGGCTTTCGACGGTCACATGGTGAGATGTAAGGGAATTTCAACAGTACCACTGGTGGTTGAGGGTGTTCGAATCATTTCATCAATGACAGTTGTGGACGAGATTGTTGGTGGTGTGGATGTTGTTATTGGCATGGATGTAATCCAGCGACTGGGTGGTGTACTTGTGCGGGGAGACAAGGTGCAATTCGGTGGTTTTGAAATAGGTAACAGCAAGTTAAGCCCTGACTTACAGGTATGCATTGAGGACAAGGACTTTTAAGCTTGGTTTGATGGCAAGCATTGGACTGTGCGATACTTTTGGAAGGAAGGAACCCCACCGACACTGACCAACAGAGTTGACCAGTATGAATGTGGTTTGGATTCTGAGAAGAAAAAAGAGTTTGACATGGAAGTTGACAGATGGATCGCAGAAGGCATCCTTGTACATTGGACTGGAGAGGTCGACGGTATTCCTTTGATGGGAGTTGAACAGGAGACCAAAAAGAAGATACACCCTGTAATGGATTTTAGCCGGGAACTTAACGATTTTGTGGAGAGTCATACTGGCGGAGAAGTGCTGGACGTTTGCAACGAGAGACTCAGAGAGTGGAGACAGATCGAAGGAAAGGCAGAGATCATCGACTTGAAATCAGCGTACCTTCAAGTGCATGTGTTGCCAGAACTCTGGCGATATCAACTAGTGAGTTACAAAGACGAAGTATATGCTTTGACCAGATTGGGATTCGAGCGACAAGTTCCTACATTGATGACATCATGGTGGATATGAGCAAAGTGAAGGTAGAGGATGTCATTGCTCATTTGGGACGGTTTGGGCTGGTGATGAAACCACCAGAGAAATTGGATGAAGCAACTGTGTTAGGACTCAAGCTTAGTTGCAGTCAAAGCGGGGAGTTGATGTTTTCAAGGTCGAATAACATTCCTACACTAGGCCAGCTGAGAGAACGAATGACGAAGAGAGAAGTTTGTGTGGAAAATTAGTTGGACATTATCCTGTGGTTGGATGGCTGCGTCTTGCGTGTAGCTATATTAAACGGCGAACGGAAGGCTACCGATGGGATGATTTTGCAGAAGAGACAGCATGCATGATGCTAAAAGAGGTACTTGACTGGATGCATCGAGAAGATCCTGTCAAAGGCAAATGGAAGGTGCCGAAGGAGACCAAGGGCAAAATCTGGTGCCATGCGAGTGATTTGGCCCTAAGTGCGATAGTGGAGATAGGAGGGGTGATTGTAGAGGATGCAGCTTGGTTGCGGAAACGCGATGATTTCAACCACATCAACATGGCGGAGTTGGAGGCAGCACTGAAAGGTGTAAATATGGGCGTTCAATGGGGGTTGAAAGACATGATCATCATGACAGACTCAGCTACAGTGTGTGGATGGATCAAGTCGATGAGTTACAATAACTAAACTGTCAGAAACACATCATTCTAGATTGTTTTACGGTTTGGAAGAGGAGAAGCTTGCCGTTACAACGATTCTAAACATGTTAGGGTCACGTGGAGACACATTGTTGTCGTCACTGTCTAATTATGGGCTTATTTGGGGCTTATTTGATGATAAAAATGGGCCATACTTTGAAGAAGGTACCCTAAAGGAAATGACCCTAAACAATTTTAAAAAATATTTTCTAATGGAGGTTAGGGGGTATCGGTTCCTAAGATATCCAGGTACACGAAAATGTAAAAAGTTGAAAATCGATATTTTGACCCAAACATCGTATTTTGAAGACCCGTACCTTCCGTTAATGGAAGGTTGAAAATAATGTCTCACTTTGATGAACCTTTAAATAAAGTGTGTGGTTTTCATACTGAAATTTAAACAGAAACTATTCCTAAAAAGTATTGGTAAGCTTAGTCTCTGTGTTCTCGATGTCTGTTATTTCTCTACAGCTTGGAAAGAGGTAGTTTGTTAAGATCGTTGATGCTAGAAAGGTTTATACTTACTTTACTTTACTTTTACTTTTTCATCCTCTGTTGCTGTTTAGCGGTGAGGAAAGATGCAGTTTTCTATGGTAGGCCAGCTCCGCAGCTCTTTCAGTTGGGAAATTATGATTTCTCAGGGTTTCCTTGACACCCTTAATCCTCCTTTTTGTGTGGCCTTCCTTTTCCTTTATAGTAGTGTTGGGCGGTACCGGCGAAGCCCAGTGTCGACACTTTCTTGGTACTGGGTGCCAAGAACCGCCAGTACCGGCACAGATACTGGTACTCGAAGTGACACCAGTAGGTGACGTCACAGACTTCTCGTCTTGCGTCTCACACCACGATCAGCGCCGCCCATCCCACCCCCCACCCTTTTCCCACGCACACGTCAGAATTGGAGAGGCAAACTGTGACACAAAATAACTTTGAAGTTTGCCCCCGCGCAGGATAAAACTCTGCATGCAGAATTTTTAAAATAATTGTCGCCGCTAAAAATTGATTTCTTTTTCGGAATGAGCGTGTCAAAATACACAAAGTGGCTCGCGTGGAACCTGATTTGATGCCGTATTTAAATTTAAGCAAACTTTGTTTTTGATTGTCAATTTTGAATCTGAAGTCATGTATCATATCAAGGTCACCAGCTGCGTTGTGTGCATCTGACGTCACAGTTGCTAGGCCAAGGCCTAGGCCTTCACCGGAGATGCCTACACACAGCACACTTCCCGTGGCCTGGTTAAAAAACCGTTGAAGTCGATCATACGTTCTTACTCTCTGAGCGTCAGGGTGTCGGCTCCTTCTTAGAGCCTGTACTAACCGTTGGTGTCGGCTCCTTCCCTGAGCCGGTACTGGAGGCCAGGTGCCGGTATTGGCCCCTCCTTCGGTAGAACCGGGAGTTCTGGTAATGGGTATCAGTATCGGTACCTGACCATCCCTACTTTATAGCCTGAGTGCTTACTGTTATTGGCTCTCGAGGCTGGCTGGCTAGGTGACATACATCTCTGGTGGCTAAACCATTTTATTCTCAGTCTTTCTATTAAAAGCAGACAGGACTCAGTGCCAATAGCTGCTCTTACTTCTTCATTTCTCTGCCTGTCTCGTCTTTTGATGTTAAGGGTTTTGCTAAGACATTTCATTTCGCATGCAGTGATTTTGCTTTCTTGGGTTTTTACTTAATGTCTTGGTCTGGAGCTGGTAGCATAATGTTGGTATGAATATTGAAGTGATAAGCTGTCTCTTTGTGTTCATGGAAACAAAGGTTTATATGACTGGGAGCAGATAGATCTTTAAATCGTTTGTTCACCTGTGTTGCAGATTGAGTCAGAATGGCGGTCGATAAGTGTTGCATACCCTCAGTATGTGTACACTGTCAGTGGATGGATACAAGTGCTAGATGTCCCGACCTACACACCAAAGCCACTCAAGGTCATCATTGTGCCACATTCGCATCAAGACCCAGGTATGTGTGACAGATTGAAATCTAGCTGTTTTTTTGTCATGATTTTTTTTACTATCATGGCTGACTTTTTGGAAGTTCAAGGTTAGAAATGCAGAGGCAGGGTGAAGAAAGCGTTGAATTGTGCTCTGATTTAGGATAGGGCTTTTGCTAAAAAATGAAGCATTTAATGGTGTTTAAAGCTTATCTTACTTGTGTATCAGAAAGTATACTCTCATCCAGAAATGTTCAATCATTGTATTTGTAATGGGGAAAGACAGAATCTCACTATACATTTTAAAAAAGAGAATGAGAGAGTCACAAGGCATATGTGAGGGCTGCCCATCATTACGAATTTGGCGGAATCATCATGATTTTAATTCAATTTTTGCAAAAATACGACCGTAATACCCCTGATTCCGATTTTTTAAATTCTAAGATATCCCATCTCATTGCCAATTTTCCCGGTGTATAAGTGGAGAAAAACTACCAGACCCGGACAGTCTACGTCACTATGTCACGTGCAGATGTCTAACTTTAGCATCCTCTTTGCCTAGAGCTCTTATAGCCGCTCAGTGCGACTTTTCCCTTCGAAAAACATTATACTTTAGAAGTGCCGAATCCAGGAGGAAGGTAAACATAAGGTTGACTAGGTGTTAGAAAATTCCTGTCTTTTTTGTGCTGTGTGACAGCCAAGGCCAGTGAGAGACTTTTTAAAAAATGGATCATTGTTTAAAGCTTAATACAGTAGTCTCCATCTAAGATCCCTCTGCTTGGGAGCAAGGAAAATGCGTAATCTTAGACGAATGGGATCTTAGCAAACGGAACAATGGAAGAATCTACAGTAGCCCCTGTTAAGGCCCACAACTGGTAAAATGATCTCCCTCCATTTTAAAATGAACTGACGTGACCCCTGGGTGGGTTTATGACATATGACGAGCGAAGACTGGTCAGCCTTGATGACCAATCACAGTGGCTTGAGGCTAGCCATTTACACTGATTGTCTAATTGTGAGTCTCCAGATCTTTGCTTATCCAGTTGCCCCTTCCCTCTCCTTACCTGTCCAAAATTTATAGCTTTCCATCTCTTACCGAATTCCCCCACCTTTGTCGTTGCGCACCATTATGTTGTAACCACACCATTTAAAATTTAGCCTGTCTCACAAATTCGGCAATAGAGACAATTTACTGTTGCAATGGTCCGAGAAGAGTTCACTGTTCGATGTGATTCCACCTAGAGAAAACATGTAGGCTCTGCGCTTTTCCCTTTCGTCAACCCGCAGCCACCTCCCGAATCGTCAGCCACTCCCAACCTTTGACATGGGTCAAACTTCCATCTATTTATAGGTAGTTACCGGAACATGTATAGGTGAAGTGATGTGCCGTGATAGTCGCGATATATTATTTATTGAGATTGTTTTGGTCTCTCTTTACTCATCAACACGAGAATTTCTTGAAGTTTTCCCCTGGACTCTGCCTTTACTAAAATCTCGAATCTAGAGTTGTAATCTAGTGGCAGGGTGCAGATTTCTGTTATCCAGTACATTCAAGAGATTAAATAAATTGGACTAGATCTAGACTCTAGACTCTAGTAATAGACTCTTCTACTTCCACTTTTAAACCTTCGAGATCACAAAAAAGGCTAAGCCTAGGCTTGTAATGATTCGTTTTGTTAAAAGTGTTGTTTAACACAAAGTCTAAGAAGTTAGCAAACCTAACTCATTTTTTTTCTAATGAAATGAAGCTTAAATTGACTTTAATATTGTCAATAAAAGATCAAGTTTAATCACCTAATCATTTAAGTAAAGAAGTGGCTATCCTCACTCGGGGTGAGAATAAAAACCCTACGATTGACCTCTCACCCCCGATGAGACTTGCCAGCGTTGGCTATTCTCACCCAGTGGGAAACAAGACCTGTTTTTCCTAATTTCGAAATACTTTCTATCGGTGTGGATGAGCAAATCAACAAAAGCAAAGAAAAAAATGACGTTATTGCACAAAACTAAGCTAATTTGATCGTCTACAAAGATGCTATGGCTCTTTCACTTTTCGAATCGAGCCGAACTACGCGGGTCGCCATTTTGTTTTGCCCGAAAGTTCTCGCAAGATCTGCTCCTCCCCCTTCTCTCTCTCTCTGTTGGCAATTTATTAAATCTGCAACCTGTAACTAGATTATAACTAGATCTAGATTCAAGACTTTAGTAAAGGCAGAGTCCGGGGAAAAACATCAATTAAATTCGTGTGGTGCAGATGAGTAAAGAGAGACCAAAACAATCTCTCTATTCCGACTATCATTGCTAATCACTTCGCCTAATACATGTTCCGGTAATTTAACTACCTATAAATAGATGGAAGTTTGACCCGTGTCAAAGGTTGGGGGGTGGCTGACGATTCGGGAGGTGGCTGCGGGTTGACGAAAGGGAAAAGCGCGTAGGCTCTACCGACCCAGCGAGTGGTGTAAATTTAGATGGAGAGCTCAGATGCGAGTGCATTGTTTGGGGAAAACAAACACTTCGTTTAGTTCTCACCTCAGTGTGATCCTGTATGGGCCAAACATTGTACCGTTTCATAGAGTTTTACAACGCTTATGTGATCACTTTCACGAGAGTGGCTGATCTTTGACGCGATGGGCAGTTCAATGGTTACAACTTTTCCCTCTTGTCTGATCGGCTTTTTGTTATGTAAATTATTATCTGAAATGCTGGATCTTAGCCGAATGTAGACCTTCAGAGTGAATCAGAGCGGGATCTTAGGGGTGACGTTTGTATAGTAAAAATTCATTTTTTTTTAAAACAGTGGGATCTTAAGCGAACCAAGATCGTAAGCGGTGGGATCTTAGACGGAGACTACTGTACAATAGCCCCCTTTTCTGCCCTGTTTTTCTTAACTCGACCAGTGACGAGCCCGTCAAGACTGCTTTTTTCATCATGTCTTTGTTTGCGGTACTTTTATACTTTCTTAAGTACAACTCCTGTCCTTGACACCCCAAGGAAGAAGACGATCCATGACCTTATTACGAATTTTAAAACGAAAATACTCTTTTTTTTATTTGCTGATTACTAAAACATAATATGCTGGTGGGTGGGCAGCCCTGCTTAAGTCATAAACAGATCAAGAAGCTGATATTGAGAGAGGTGAATAAATGCAGACAAAAAATGAGAGAAGGAAAAAAATGATGAAAGTAAAAAGAAATGGGGGAGTTGGGTGGGAGTGGCTGAAAAAGAGAGGCAATAACAGAAAAGAAAACAGAGAAAAAGAAGGACATTTTTAATGAGGGTATATGCTCAATTGGACTAAAATTTTGTTTTTTGCAAAAATGAAAAAAACCCCAACAGAATTAGAAATATAAAGGTGAGGAAGAGAGAAAAGGAAAAAGAAAGAAAATGAATAAAGCGTGGGGAAAAAAGGAATGGAGAAAGAAGGAATACAAGGGGGAAGTGACAAAAAGGGTCAGAAAAATAACCAATAAAAGGAATATAGGTAAGGAGAAGTGTTAGTAGAATGTGATAAAGTAAAATGCACATTATATTTGCTATTTTAAGTCTGAATAATTCTAGAGGTAATGTTGAACAAATACAACAAATACTTGCACATGGCTCTTTAAACAGAATTTTTTTTTCAGTAACAAGTTAGGAATATCACTTTTTTGCTGTTTTCTTATTTTTTCAGGTTGGAAAAGCACTTTTGAAGGCTACTTCCAGTCTCAGACCAGAGATACCTTGGAGAACATGGTTAATTTCTTGTCAGCACATCCCAAGTGGAAGTTTATCTGGTCTGAAATTTCCTTTTTTGAAAAGTGGTACTCTGGTGAAGATGGTGGTGATCGAGAAAGGGTAAAAAGGTGAGAAGGTATGATGTGGCATCTTCATAGCAGTGGAAATGTTTTGTTTGCGTAATTTGTGTTTTCATACAGCATAAGTAGACACCACATTATTTGTTTTACATTGTTTGTGTTTCATAAATATGTGTAAATACCATATTCATTGTTCTATGTAATTTATGGTTCGTATAGTACATGGACATGCTATATTCCTTGCTTTCTTTCTTTCTATTCCATAAAACACTTGAAACTCCTAGTGCTTTGTTTTACATTATTTGTGTGTTGATAAGGTATGGAAAATACATGTTTTGTTTACTTGTTGTGTTTAAATGCCTTTAACAGTTGTAACAGTTGTAAGCTGCAGCCTAGTAGCAGAAATTTAGAATTTGTTTGCATCATTTATTTTAGGATCTGATCTTCGTGAATGTCCTTCTGGGGTTTTTTTTGGTTGTTTTCTTTTTGTTTATTAATTTTTACTCTTATTTTCTATTGTGAACTTGAAATTGTTACTCAGTGTTAAGAATCATTATTTTGTTATTGTTGTTATCATTATCAGGTTCTATCAATAATCAACTAATATTTGGGTCATTTTGTAGGCTTATCGACAATGGGCAATTGGAGATTGTTACTGGAGGTTGGGTGATGACGGATGAAGCTGTGGCCCACTATTCCGCCATGTTGGATCAGCTTGTTGAAGGTCACCAGTGGTTGAAACAGAATCTAGGTAAATTTATATTTACAGTGTGCCTTTTTTTTTTCAGGCAAGTTGCAGGCTCACGAAGTCACTTGCAACATATATGTACCCCATAATCTTTGCTTCTGTACATTATGCTGTCTTTCAGAGTCTTTTTTTTTTCAAGCATTAAAATGCCAGCGAACAGGGATGAAAGCTCTTTTTTACCAAATCCAGTGTGGCTTTTTATGACAACAGTCAGCCTGATCAAATTTTTGTTTGAAATTTTTCATGCAGTGCTTGTACCCAAAATGGAATTTGCTATAATGCAAAATTATTTTGACAAATGTTTATCATGCTGTCAGCACTAACATCTGTGTGGCTCAGTTATGGCAAATGCACTGTAGACGTGGTTTTTTGTGATTGTAGTTTAAAAACAGGTCAACTCGAGGAACTGACTTAACTACTGAAGCCCTTTTCTCCTGTTGAATATTTATGATAAAGCTAATTGTATTAGAAGGGGTTACAGTGTATAATTTTAAAGAAACACTGTACTTTGAAAAGAGACGGAGTCTTCATGAGAAACTACCATTTACCATCCCAACATTTTCTGGCTGTAGAAAAATTTTAATCGTTTTCCTTGACAACATTAAAAGTCTATATCTTGTTATGCATTATGTTCGTTTTTTAAAATTTTGTTTTGCAAGGAAGACACAAGTCTGGCATGCTAAAACAACTATGTGATATGGGCACAGTTTTTAGTAGTATATGTGGAGGATACAGATTGATTCCCCCCCCCCCCCCCCCCCCCCTTCCCCCTTTCTTTGTGTTAATTTGCTGCTGTTTCAAGAATGCCCTCCCCCCGACCCAACACACACACACATACACATTTATAGAAATGGTGGGTAACATACTGATTCGCAAGAGAGAGGTGTGTGTGTGTGTGTGAGACTAGCTTATAGTAGGACAGTGGACTGGATCCTCTATTATGCTCTGAATTACATGTCTAATATTTTCCTCAGTCAGTTGTGTCTGTCATCACATCTTATGTCTGTTGTCCCCTTTTCTCTACCCATTTGACAAAGTGCTCAGCCTTCAGAGTTGATAATGTGTGCTTAGTATCATAAAGGATCTTAAACTGCTTACCATAACGTTCACTAATCCTGCAACAGCTGTTGTCTCTTTTGAACAGTTTGAAGTAGATGGTTGACTTTTTGAAAAAAAAAATGTTCTTTTCCAGACATAACACCAAACACATCCTGGTCTGTGGATACATTTGGCCACTCTCCCACAATGGCATACTTGCTCAAAGAATCTGGTGTCAAAAACATTGTGATTCAAAGGGTCCACTTTGCCATAAAAAGATACCTTGCCAAGAAAAAGAGTCTGGAGTTCATGTGGAGACAAAGCTGGGGTAAGAATACAATAGTGAGATGCAAAAAACTTAACATTAATTTGGAAATGGAGATTATTTCATATTTGACAAATAGTTAATCCAAATATGAATTTTTGTTTTTTGTTGGTTCATGAAATATAAAATGTAAAACTCCAAAAATATGAAGGAAAACTTCAGGCTGTAATGAAAGTGAAGGAAATATTTTGTTTGACGGAATCAGTAAAAGCTTCAGCATCTTTACACTACGCCCCCATCCCACAAGATAAATATGTCATGACGCAGTAGAATCAGGTGCTCTCCAATTTTTGGGCATCTGGAGTTATTGGTATAATTTTAAAGCTTGTTCATTTGACTATCTTTTAATGAAAAAAATACATGCTTATCTTGAAAAGAAGTCGAAATACAGGGTGACCCAAAAAAACTTTACTACTTTTTTTCTGAATATCTCGCACAAAAATTGTTCTAGAATGCTGTAATTTGGAACAGACATAATTCATTTTAAAGGAATTTGTTTGATATGAAATCCACAAAGAAGAAACATGTTTTGAAAACGGAAACGGCTAAAAGAAAAAAGCACCCAAAAACACTAAGTTCGCCAATGTTTAAAAATCTTGTAAAGGAAGTCATGAAAAGATTAGTTTACCTTTTTCTTTATTTTCTCTTTGACATTAATTTTCCATTTCTGTGATAATTAGACAGTATTCAATTTCTTTTACAGAGTTTTAAAAACCTAATGATTTCATTCTGAAATTCCTAAAAGCAGTGCTCCACATTTCCTCCTTTGGACTCGACACATTTTTAACGTGTCATTCGAAATGTTCAGTGGTGCCCTAACACAAGGACCTGCTAAACCATGAGTTTTTAAAGCCACACACACTGTACATGTTCACTAAGAAGTGGCTTCTAGAGACAATAGAGTGGGGTGCCCAATAGACTGCATTTTTGGAGTTAACATATCCCGCAGGGTGAAAATGGGCTTTGCACTAAACCAAATGTCAAAGATGAAATGTTCCCTCATTACAAGACAATCGAGGAATCATGAACACCTTGCCATGCTCTGATCCATGTCATCTCGACCTAGCGAAGATGAACATGGTATAGTCATAGGTTAAGATCTGCCATGAAAATGCAGACTGTTGATGTGTAGGAAAGTCCTAGCTGCAGATCGTCTACGGACAGACATCTCATGGGACTCGGCTATTGAAATCTGCACTCTGGTGACGTTTAAAGGGCTGCGCATGGTGCGTGTTCGACCTGAAGTGGTCATTTTTTAAAGAACTTTTTAGTTCTGATTTGCTATAGATCCAAACTGAGGGAACTTCTCTATTCATGACGCCAAAGGTCTTGAGGGCACCTAAGCATTCTCTCCATGCTGTACGCAGAACTTATCAGGGATGGTGAGTTTGTGGAGAGGTAATGTTCAATACAAAAGCTCTCTGCTCTTTACTAAACGTAGCCATGATCTCAGCAGGCAAACAAAATGTGGGAAAAACAATATCTGCAGACTTCTGTTGACTTGTTAGACTGCTGTAGCTTGCAATATGGCACGATTGTTACAACTTTTAATGGTAGGCTTAATGCGAACTGGTGCGTCATGCTATGAAAATGGCGACAAGGTTGAAAATGGGTTGTTCTTTTAATGCGCTATATAGAGCAAAATCATTCAATGGACTTATCTAAAATACATATCAGAAAAATTCCTTTTTGCTTCCAAATGTTATGTTCAAATCTGAAACGCAAAACTTCAGTATGGAGGAAGATATTTATAAAACAAGTTGTAAAGTTTTTTTGGGATCACCCTGTATTTGCGATTGAAGGAAGACGGGTTCGCCTGGTTTCTGAGGTAAAACTACTGAGAAACTGGCTGCGAAAGTTTGGTGGTTTCCAAAGCTGGAGAGTCCTTGGAGTCCTTTAATCAATGTTTGTCAGTAAAAAAAACCTACAACAAAGTATGTTTTTAAATGGATATAAAAGGTGTTGCGCCAAAAAACAAAAATTAGAAAAAAATTGGTCAAAATGAAGGAAAATTACCGATATCTTCAATTTCATTATTTTGACGAGCGCCTGATTTCACCATGATGCCTCACAAATTATGAACTAATCAATTTTCTAATGTGTTTTTTTTTGGTTTGTTTTTTTTAATTTTTAAAATTATTTTTTTTAAAAAGATTCCAGTGGTAAGACGGACACTCTGTGTCACCTTATGCCATTCCTGCTGTATGCCATCCACTACTCCTGCGGACCAGATCCCCATGTCTGTTGTCAGTTTGACTTCCACGAGGACAAGTGCTTACGGGGCACGGAGACTGTTCCAAGAGTGGCTGTTAATGAGACCAACATTCGCAAGCTGTAAGTGTACTGCACTCAAGTGTTTTTTTTTTCTTTAAAAATATTTGCTTGAACTCCTTTTCTAATGAAAAAACCTTCTTGTATTGATTCAATGCCTTCAGGATGGTTGATTTTAAAAATATGACAAACTAGGAAAATATTCCCTTTTGTAAATAACCCACAGTGGAATAAACTATGATCTATAGTCCTCAAGCTATTGTTTGCTTATCTACCTTTGATTACAATCTCATAGGAGAAGAATATCCTGTTGTGGTTTGAAGTCTAGAGTAATGAAATCAGTGATCTTAGACTGTAGAAAAATTCTGTTTGAAATTGCACTTTTTTTTTTTTTTTGCTTTATGATTTTCTACTGAAAGGTGCAAATAATAGTTGCATTAAATTTGCTATGTTATAATTGACTCAAGTGTTAGTAATTGTGTTCGTATATTATACGATATAATGTCGGCATTATACCGATGTTTTCCACCCTTGACAAAGACTATAGGGTGCTTTTATGTGTTGGCTACATCTCTTTTTTCATTTTCTTAGTCCTTTTGAAAATGGACATTAAATTGAAGTTCCTGCCTCTTAAGTAACCTTTGAGTGTTCTTTCCCATACAAAAAAATTGATTTTACAAAGTTGGGATTTTTTAAAAAGTGGAGGTGCTTGTCTTTGAAATAGTATATAACTCCCCCTGCCCCCTTCCCAAACCTTCCAGGGACAAAAGTATCACTGACAAATGTGTGCAACTACTGCGATTGAATGTGAAGAATATAATCAGGTTGTGCTTTCTTTTATTCAGACAAATTCAAAAAGATAAGATAAGATAATTGAGCCACGACGCAGTGGAACTAAATGTTTTCGTTTCCTAAATTCTGTCCAAGTTTTTCAATAGCAATAAAAAGTAATTATAAATGACGAATCGTGTTAAAACGAAACAATACTGAGGCAAACCTTTACAGCCGATATATGGGCGCTACGACCGCAAGGGGTGTGGACTCGGGCCGATATATAGGCGATACGTCCGTAAAGAGTTAATTTTTTTCTATCAAATTTACATGGAAATGTGTTTTTATATTGATATAAAAGGTGTTGAGCCAAAAAACAAAAATTGGAAAAAAATTGTCAAACTGGGGGATAAATGTAGATATCTTCGATTTCATTATTTTGATGAGTGCCTGATTTCACCACAGTGCCCCACAATTCCTTATTGTCCCTGTGAGAAATTTTCTGTAACATTTGTTCAGATCCTGGGCACTGTGGGAACAGCTACAGAAAAAGGCTGAGTTGTATCGGAGCAATGTTCTGCTTGTTCCTCATGGAGACGACTTTCGTTATGATTCATCAAGCGAGTGGGAGGCGCAGTTTGGAAATTTGGAAAAGCTCATGGAGTACATGAACAAGGATCCAGACATGAATATTAATGTAAGTTATTTTCATTTTTAGAAAATGTTTTGCTATAATTCTTGACTTCTGATCCTTTATGTATGGAGCTTGTTCAAAGTGAGTGTGTTTAGTTTTGACATAATGTGTGTGAATTCCAATCTGAGAAAGGACAGCATAAAATCCTACAATTCCAGGCATAGATCTGTTTGGCTATTTGCTTAAGAAGTCAAAGACCTTTTCAAATCTATTTTTCCCTTTGAAGTATGTCGAAGTGTATGGATTTTCATTCCTCCTCTCTTCCACGGCAAGTGAATTATAAAAGTAACAGAAAAGTTGCGAATCGGTCAATTTGCACACTTCTTTGTGAGGGGAATTTTCTGCTTGTTTATCACTTTCGACTTGACCTTCTTTTTCTTACTTATCTCTGATGTCTTTTCTTCATTTGTTTGAATAGCTCTTTCGTTCTGATAATTTTTATATGCAATACATTGTGGTTTATTGACATTTAGTGTTTCATAAAAGCATTTGATCAGCATACCCCAGCCTCCATAAGAATGGTCTCCAAATTTACTGCATCGAAAGTTGAAATTTAGTGCCGGCTGAATCAGTTGAGCAAATCCATGTACATCATACTCAGACTTATATAATGGCCTTATGCTATTTTGTACATAATACGCTCTTTGACATTTTAAACTTATATTGTTGAGAAATGATTAGACTACTGCGATATTGTGATTTGTTTTGTATTTCATTTTCTCCTTCTTAGTTGGAGTTTGGCACTGTGAGTGACTTCTTCAATGCTCTTAAGACTGATACTGAAAAGTCCAAAGTGTCCTTCCCATCCCTGACTGGGGATTTTTTGCCTTACAATGACCGAGATGACCAGTACTGGACGGGATTTTACACCAGTAGACCCCTATACAAGCACATGGCCCGCTGGTTACATGCAAAACTTCGGTAATTATTATTGTTTGTCCTATGGAACAATTTATTTTTGTGTTTCATTTGAGTTTGCGGCATTGATCATGTGGAAGGAAGATGTTTGGAAGAAGACTCTTTTTGCAATACTTACATCATCAACACGCCTTTTCTCAGACATTTAAGAAAGTTTAATCTTTTTGATCACATTATAATTGTTGTAGAGGATTTGAAACTTAACTTCATATATTTTTTTTTATGAACGCTTTGGTATATGGCAAGGTTTTTTTTTATCATCTTTTTGTTCTAAATTTTAAATGTGGCTTTTTCGTCCAATGGTGGAGCCTGTTAACTTGCAAGGCAGGTTTTTTCCTTGCACACAAATTTACAGGCTGGTAAGGAGGCCGGCACTTATTTAGAATAAAGACGGCATTGTACACTTGAAGAAATGGTAGTCAGGAATCATTCCCCTTATTTCCAAATACAGTCAAACCTGCCCTGACAGCCACCTCTATAAGACGGCCACCTGTACAAACAGCCACTTTCCATTCCCCCCTTGCGTTTTTTCTATATAATTTAACTGTAAAACGGCCACCTGTCCAACGCGGCTACAGCCACCATATTTTAACACACAACCCCTATCACACTAAGCAATAACACCTGTCTTAGACGGCCACCTTAGTGACTCTATTACATTTTATCATGAATTGTGCATTGGCCCCAGGGGTTGTGGGCGAGCCGTCACAATTCAATCACCTGTCGTTGTTGTTAGGTAGTCCCTCCAACCGATCATGTTGCTTAGGCCCCTCCCACTGTTGACCAATAGCTACCAATTTTCAGCTGCTGGTGAGGTAAGCATGTGATCCCTCATAACCCATAAGCCCCACCCAGAACTCATACACAAATCGCAAGTGAGATGAGTGGTCACTGTTTACCCAGTCTGTAAACAAAGTAACTATGGACGTCAACGTGAACTTGTGACAGAAGCGTCGCTCGTTCTCCGAGTGGTGGCGACCCATGTGTTTGTTTTAACATGGCACTTAGTCTTCCTCGTCTGATACATTTCGTTTTATTGTCATCCTTGTGCAAAATCAGCAACAAAATAAAAATTACAAACAAAATACAAACCACCACCACCACCACCAACAACAACAAAAACAACACAATACGGCTACTTTCGATTGGGACCTCAGATGGGAATGGTTTGTTTTCTTCATCTTGATCAGTCCTGCCTAAGACGGCCACTTCTCTCCTTGACAATGGGTGGCCGTCTTACACAGGTTTGACTGTACTAAATCAATCCTTTTTTCTATTACCACAGTTATGCACATGGAAATAACAGAAATATCTCTATTGATATAGCTCTACAGGGTTCCCGCGGCCTCCTTGAATTCAAGGAGTCCTTGAAAACTGCTTGAATTTGCATTCAAGGAAAAATGTCCTTGAAAACTCCTTGAATTTGCATTCAAGGAAAAATCTCCTTGAAAACTCCTTGAATTTTGCCAGATCGGACAGGGTGACTGCCAGGCCCCGGGAATCCCGGGGGCCCCTGGAATTACCCGGTCATTTGAAAAAAATCGCCCAGACCCGGAATGCAACGGGAATTTGAAGAAGTCTGTAAATTGCCCCGTGAAAGACCCGGGAAAATACATAAACGTTCTCGAATATTTGAAAACCAAATCCGATAACGTCCTTGAGTTCATTTTTGCCGGTCGCGGTTGTGATATAAAATTCATTTGGTCTTTCTCGGCCTGAGAGTACGTTGCCCGCGCACAGGCGGTTATGGCGGCAATAAGTGGAACTGTATATGCGATACCGAAGCTCGATCGGGAAAAATCAAGATCTACTTTCGCTTTCGTTACCACCTAGAAATTTGCCGGTAGGACCTATAGTAGTCTGATAGCGCCACATTTCTAACATGCAGGTTCTGCATTACAAACGCTGTGTCGCCATGAAAATAAATCGTTTGTCCTGTGCTGTCTCTTGTGGAAAAAAAAGAAAGAAAAAGAAAGTTATACAAGCTTCTTGTCGGGCTCACCATCGTGACCGGTCATTGAACCTGTGCATTTTCGTCACATCGTGAGTATCGGCGATGGTTGAGGTCACCAAAGTTCATGCTAAGTCTGAGCGCTGCGAAGTATAGGACTCGGGAATGGGGGGATTGTTGATTTTTTTTTTTAAAGACGCACGCGAG